AAAACCTTTCTGTGATTTTTGAAAATTGAGAAACATTTTGTCTCAGAGCGGGGGATTGTCCACACCTTATACACCCTCTTTCTTTCTGAGGTATTGTATAGGGCTAGGAATCAGCTAGAGATTTGTTATAATTGCAATATTTATGCCCCCCTTCCAAGAAGTGAGGGCATATTCTTTGCCGGTGTCTGTCGTTTGGTCTGTCTGTCGGTCACCCATCAGTTTCCGTTCATTTTCTTTGCAGAGGTTGTATTTATTGAAATGAAATTTAGTATACAGATTTATCATAAGAATATCTAGGTCAAGTTTTATTTTGGGTACGATTGGACCATTTGGGACAGAGTTATGCCCTTTGGACTTGAAAAATTAATTTCGGGCAGATTTATGCCCCTTGGACATAAAAAAATTCCCTTAATTTGCAGTTTCCGTTCATTTTCTTCACAGAGGTTGCACAAATTGAAATGAAATTGAGTATACAGATTTAGCTTAAGATATCTAGATCAATTTCTGTTTTGGGTTTTGGGCAGAGTTATGCCACTTGAACTTAGAAAAATTCCAATTATTTGGGGGAGGGTAGGCATAAGTGTTTTACAAACATTTCTTGTTGTCATTATGTTCCTCAAACGAAGTTGGGGAACATATTGTTTTTACTCTGTTTCTTATTATTATTTTTCTTCTTCCTGGGTACTTAATCTTGTAAACTGTTCATCTGATGTAGGTAAAAATTAGACCAAGGTCATTTTGCGCGCACGTGCTTGCAAGAGCGCGCACGCGCAACATGTAAAATGACAAATATAACTGATATAGCCGTAACTTTTCTTTCTTTTGATGAAATGTGTTGAAACTCAGACTATAAGAATATATTAGTATTATAGACAAAAGGAAATGGTCAAATTATCATGAACTCACGCGCATGCACGTGCACTTCGCTCTGATTGGCTGAAACAAAAATCTCGTTATCTTATTTGTTTTTTGACGAAATACTTTGAAATTTAATATGTAGTCATGCATTAAGATATCCTACGATATGATATAAAATAATTTTCATGAAATCACGCGCATGCACGTGCGCTGCAATCTGATTGGCTAAATCTTTAAATGGATATAACTCCCTTGGTTTTCAGCCAAACAGCATGGGATTTAGAACATAAATAGTCTTAATGGACCCCTACAAGAGAGTATCGTCGTCATGCACATGCACGCACGTGCAATACGTATCATTTCAAACGCACTTGATTTAGCGTATTTTCGAATACTTTCTGATAAAATGCCTTGATATTAAGTACATTAAAATAAATTAATAGTATAGATACAATGATATGGTCATTCCGCATATGCATGCAAGTGTGTACACGTGCAATGCAAAAATTTGCTATATACTTGGTATACTTTAGGAAAAACGTTGTTTAAGTTTAAGATGCATAGAGTTTAGTTTATTTGATGAAGCTTAGAGGGGAATGAGGCACCAAAATGAAGTTGGGGAGCGTTTGAGGAACACCTGTAATGGTTCCCGTTACAATTGGCACTAGTTTTTAACTATATTGCATTTTTTTTTTTTTCTGAATGATTGGTACTAGAGCTATTATATTTCATGCATCTAAATCATGTGACAAGACTTTTCTTTAGGTGTCGACATTTTTGAACTTTTGACCTTGCCCTTAGAGTTTGACCTACATTTGAAAAACTGTCATCTTATCATTGTTTTAAGGGACACTACTGTTCCTAGTGTAAATACATCTGGTTTTCGAAAGAATTCCTATAATAAGAATTTATTTAAGTATATTGAGTACCGTACATACTAGCCTATAAGTCGGTATGTCGGTCCGCCTATAAGTCGGTTGTACCCGGTATTTATTAAGCTTATATATCAGAGGGACTGACCTCATATAATACCATTAATTTTATAGCTTGCCTATAAGTCGGACATAGAGTTTTGGACCAGAGATTAACTCCCAAAAATCCGACTTATAGGCGAGTATATACGGTACTTGACCATTTTTAACCAAAATTTAAAAAATTCAGGCTTCGTGATTATAATCAACACTTCCCCCTCCTAAATTGTAAACTTCTTGGTCCTTTGACATGTAATTCAATCCCTAGATGGAAGTTATCATACATTAAAAGTTACAACAGGAACATTCATTGGCATTTAGCAGGTGAACTGTTATTTGTCCTTGACCAAATTTCTGAAAAATGTGTCGATGGGCACGACGAGTAGAAACTTATTTACTCCATACTATGTAAAAACAAGGTACAAGAACTTGAAAGTGAAAAATCAAGTAACCCAAATTCAATAATTTGTCACATGAGTCAGGAATACCGATTCCAGAAGGAGCTTGGGTGGTCATATCAAGATTAACTCAAGACTCGTATGACTGTCAAACCCTATGTGTCTTCTAAACATAGGAAAAACAACAGTCTTGTTTTGTAAATGCATGTTTTATTTATTTCAATTAATAAAATACAGAATGTATTTTACTATATTTTCAAACTGAAATCTGTTACACATATGCAAAACTTGACAAGTGCAATATAAGTTACAGAACAAGTTCTCATTTGCAAGCTTTCTTCAGGTAGACAACACAGAAAAATCTGCCCAGTAAAGACAGACAGATACAAAAATTCACAAAGTACAAAAAATGGGTGTAATATTCCACATTCCTCCATTATATTGACAGCTGCCTGTTGATGAATAAACAGAACAAAGAGTCTTGTACAAAGTGTTCCTCCTTGTCTCATACCAACCAAATCAGAAAACTGAAGTTAGAATTACATAGAACCAATGGACAAACAGAAACAGAAGGAGAAACACTTGAACAAGCAGACATTTTGTGTTCGGACATTGTCGATACAGGCCACAAGTACTGGGTCTTAAGAGTCATTCTCCATTAAAAGCTATCACTAAACAAAAAGCACTGACAGATCACAATGTCGCAGACAACTCATTGCATGTTTGCTGTCTTTTTTTTTCTGTTCATTATGGTGAAAATTATTCAGATTTTATAGAGGGTTATGCTAGATTCAGAACAAGTTGTCAAAGAAATAACTCGTAAATACACATAAAATGTACATTTGAAATTTATAATCTCAAAAACAGATATAATTGCTACATTTTTGAAAAAAAATTAATACTTTGATAGTGAGGAGAGAAGTGGGATATGAAAATTTTATTTTATTACAATGGTTAAGTTTGTAACATGATTATCATAAATTGCCATTTATGCACTAACAATAATTCTTTTTATCAGATTATTTACATAATAATAATCTGAATGATAAAACATTGTAAGAGAAAATCTCTGAAACAATGCACATCTCACCCACATACTACAACAGAGCATCTTGTATAACATAACAATGGTTTTCTGATGATGCATGGAAATGAACACCCCCCTCCTTTAAAATAATAAAACAAACAAAAACGGGGAAAAAAATTACACAAGAATAAACGATCAATGTAAACACAAACAGAAAAATTGCACGTTTTTCAATATAAAATCACAACAGCTGATTCTGTAGCATTGGATGACAAACCTGTGTTCAAAATAACACATAAAAGAGCCTACAATAAAAAAAAATTCAGACTGAAAATATATGTATATATATTTAATTAGAATCATGGACAACATTAATTGCAATGCTGTTTGAATTACTGTGAAATAAAGACAAAAATTTTTAAAAGAGGGCCAATGCTAATAATTTTCTTAGATCAAATATAGTTCAACCGCTATTAAACGAAAGTTGTATTTCAAGTTTGTTTCTAAAATAAATAATATTGATATTTAATACATGTTACATTGTTTGTTTTTTCTTAGCTTTTATTTGAGAAAAAAGGAGTGTCTAATAGCCATCCAAATCAGTTGATATGTGCAGTGTTTAATCCTGTTGTGTTGGAACAACAAAAATATGTCATGGGTTTCTATACAACCTTCTAGTTACACATCTCAATCCAAACATAAACTCAAACTGACTTTTTCCTTAGTCTCAAAAAATATGATTGTGTGGTACAAGAAAAAAATATACAACAAAACTAATATATATAATCATCAACAATTAAATGTACAGTAATACTTGTAACAATTTTTATTCCGATTCTTAAAAAAAGAAAAAAAAAACATACACTGTAGATACACTTTTTAACTTCCTCATTCTATGTAATCACTCATGCACATCAAGGCGAGCATAAAGACATTCTACACTCAGAAGCACACATTCCACACCTCAAAATAATGGATCCATCTCCATATATCCAAAGCGCAGTTATCTTTCCTACATTGTATAAAAGTATTCATTTTGGTAATGGTTCTGAAATGCTTTCAAAGAAAAACAACTTGGTTTTCAAGAAACTTTGGAAGTTGCCTACAAAAAATTTAGGAGGTTGAAAATCAATACATTTTGTTGTCACATATTCCTCCCCAAGTTTGAATTCCGGTAAGCATCACGTTCTACAGGCACACAAAATTTATCATACTGCAGTGTCCAATCTAAAATGCACCAATGAGCCTTTAGTGCAATTTGTGCCCATGTGATTCTTTCCAATTTCGCTAAAAAACAAACCTAATTGAAATGTATACCCCTGGACAATAATATGGTCATCAGGGTTTTTTTTTTTTTTTTTTTTTTTTCGAATTTTACTTCAAGAAACTTAATGAAACATAGTCCTGGAATTGTATGGTCAACAAGTATTCAGTTTTAATGGCCATACATATCATGGCTATTAGATCACTATATAATGTTGGACAGTTTTGTTTAATGAATTAAGGGCTCTCTCAACCCACACTTTTTGACAAATTTGCACTCTAAAAAGCTTAAGATTATCCTTTCTCTTAATCTATTTCTAAACAAGTATCTTTTTTTAAAAACAAAACAAAAAATAGGAATCCATATTCACCAGCATTGTTACAATTTTATTTGAATGGATTTTAATTAAAACACTGATGCTTATCCTTTTCTATTTTGTAATTTTCTGGTTGATTTGAGGTACTAGGGAAAGTCCATACAATGTAGGATATTTAGAAGTAAGTATCGCATGTGAAGCAAAGTAAAAACCAGCTTCATAGAAATCTGGGATGAAAAATCGAAATGTTTGGACCAATCGGTCAAAGCCAAAATATGTGAATGGGTTGAAGTGTCTGGTTGTTGCACTAAAACCTATATGGTGCTTTTCTAGACTGAACACTGATAATGATTCTTAAATTAATAGTGCTGATCTGAATTCTATGTACAGATATTTAAGAAAATAAAATCAGAGACCTACGGTTCAATAACAATTAATTCACACAAAACATCACAAAAATGTTTGCTCAGAGCAATAATACTAAACATTTACAACCTTCATCAAACTCGGGACACAATTTTTTGCTAGAATCTGTATTTCAAAAATTTACCTATCTGTAAAATCATCAAAATCATTTTTTTTCCAATTTAAAAATCAAGAGAAATTTAAAACTTATTTCAGAGCATAAAACTACCCCCTAGATGTTTACCGGTACTACATGTAAAATCCACTCAATTTATAGATTTGTTGCACAATTATTTTCCTATCGATGAACTCAAAATGTATCACAAATGCATTCAACCTATTAAATGTACATACATTAATTCCTTAGAAAATCAGTTTGTATAATTTTATTAAGCTATTTTTAAACTTAAATGTATTAAACCATTTATTTACAGAATTTAATACTGTTGATATGGATGTAATTTTAACCCCCTCCCAATTTTTACAATAAATTCACTCTCTTTTTCCATTTCACATATCAAAAAATGAGTCTTGCAATAATGAATTAAAAAAGAGATGTAAAACAATGACTAGAAGTAGCAGTGGCAGTTAAAATACAATGGTACATGTGGTGTACCTTACATGAACATAAAAACAAGTTGATATAATAACATGAGAATTGTTTGAAAACATAAAAAAAATAGGCATCAAAATGTAAGTAGACATAAGGCATAAGGGAAAAAAGCTCTCTGGAAAATCAGGCATTTTTATTTACTGAAGAACAATATCAGTAAAGTGATGCCATGCTGTTGGTTCAATATTCAACAGAGAGCTCTGTTCATGCGATGAGCCTATGTGGGAGTAAGCATCATCAACTTCTTATGGAGGAGGCTGCATTCCCTTGAAGCCCAACAGAATGTAGGCAGATGCTTATCTTGTACAAGCACGAGTCCTTCGCTTCTCAGTTTGTGAAAGAGATGCTGTGATTTTCTTGTTTTTTCTGAGGAATTTACAGACTACCATCAGGAGCTTGCAGAAGGGGCATTAGTACTCAAGTAAAAGTAGATATGCCTCATTGTCCTCCTTTTAAAGTGGTTGAGTTTTTTTCTTTAATTTGTACCCAACGCCGGACTTCTGCGGAGCAGAAGATGACGATGTTGATGATGTGGTTGATTCTGTACTATACTGCCTTGTGCCGCCCCCCACAACATCCACACTTCACCCCACACTTATGACAGGCCGTTAACGGCCAGTAGCACCATAGACACGGAACAAAAAATGACAAAATTGTTAAAGCAGTCCACTTTTTACAATTATTAGCATCACTGGGATCACAGTAACATGGGTGCCCATAGTCCCCATCAGGATCACTCATACAGTGATAAATTAGTCCCTTTGCACACCACACACAGGTGACACATTCTATACACTTTTCTACCCCGTCTGGGGCCTCTTCGCAACTACCACGGCCATTTTCCTCTTGAGTAAAGTTGTCATGGCAGTGTTTGCAGCGAAACTTAGAAGATCCTAATAAAGGGTGATTAGTTCTTTTTTTGTCCTTTTTCTTAGGGAGAGGTGGATGTTCCTGAATGGAAGGTTGATGCTTGATGTTGCTGGTCGTTTCCCTTTTAGAGGGGGGTTTGTGAACAGATTCTAGAGTGGGGTAACTATATTCATGGGTTTTTTGAGTTTTTGCAATTATGACATAAGAATACTCCTTCATTTCATGTTCTGAATGACTATCTAAAAGTCCCTGATCCGATTTCGAACTGAAGGAGTTTGGGTCCTCACTGTGGACCCAGACATCCTGGTGGTAACTGTCTGATTTACTGGAACTGTCGCTCTGGGGAGTGACAGGCTTTTTGTTGGCTTTATGAGGTGAGGAAACGTAAAGAACTCGGTGAACATGGTGATGGTTGGGAGCATAATACGGGTCCAGGCCCGAGACATTGGACGTCGGCGACTGGGGAGTGGGGCTGCTGGTTGTCGTGGACGTCGTACTGGCAGACTGGGATGAAGATCGAGAGATTGGAAGATCTAAGATCTGAAGAAAAAGGAAAAGAATTGTGGATTGATTTCTATAATTGTAAACAACAAAAAAAGAAAAAAAAATGTAGTAATTATTAAACAGTTTTTTTAACACAGTGTGATATTTATCCATATCATATTTATCATATCTATATTAGCCCTGCAGGATCTGTATCTATGGCTATTGTGACATCTGAATTCCTTTGGCCATGACTTCTGCAAGTGTAACTGTCTTAAGGACATGACCTTAAATATTCATATAATTATCAATATGACTAGAGATCTCCAAGAGCTTGCTAGGTACCTATCTGTAAAGACTGATTTCTTCAAGTGTGTACGTCATGTCAGTTGAAAAACAAGACCTTGAATATTCATTTATAATTTAATTTTGGTTTAACACATCATTTGATTCGATGAAAAATTAAATCTTAATTGTATAACCTGGGTTGCCTACATCACAATGACTTACGTCAAAAACGTATAAATCCACTTGACGTTATCGGTGTGTATAAAATATGAACAATTTGAAGACGCTTTTAGGGAGAAATTGTCTTGTTTTCTATACTTATCATAATTAATGATTGAAAATTAAATTATATTAAGGAATGAATTAAATAGTAACCCAAGTTATACTACTATAACCTGCGTTGGAGCTGTTTACCCTTTTTTATAAACCACTTCAAGGTTTACAAAGCGTAAACCCAACCCAGGTTATACAGATGAACTTGGTACCTATTTAATTCATTCCTTAAATAGTAATGAATGTCAGAGGGTACAGATCTTTATTAGCTAGTTAGATATTACTTAGATGTTTTCTCCAAATATCTGAAGGATAAGTTCGTTCAATATTCATTCATAATTATGAATATGAGAGTACAGATTTTTTAAGAGCTTTCTTTGCTAGATGAATTCAAGATCTTCATAAAACGACAATATTTGTATCAAGTATGAGTGCCTAATTAGAAAGTTAGACAGACAGACAAACAGACAGATGCCCAAGAGTGGGTGATCAGAAAAGCTCACTTAGCTTTCGACAGCTCAGGTGAGCTATGAAAAGATATGAAGAAAGACAGTCAGTTTGAAGTATATTGTCTTGTTTGGAAATTCATCTAAATGAAAGCCATTTATGATATTTCTCTACATACATGTATTTGCAGATTTTTAATGAAGTTCCTATATAAAAATGTAGAGCTTTGGGCTTCCTACTTTAATGAATGAACACATTTATACATCAGCCACAAGGAGTGGTACACAGCTCCGGATGTGCAAGTTAGGTTATCTCTAGGTATTCTTACTATCTGTGAAATCACTTGTTATCAAAATCTATTTACAACCATCCCAGCCTGTGTGAAGCAGCTAGGTGGAAAGTTGTGTCTATATACTTACAGCAAAAACTTCATCATCTCCATCTGCATTCAGTGCATTGCCATTTGATCCACCTACAAAATATATAATAAAGAACAAAATTATAAATGTAGTATTGACTTGGTCATTCAATTATCTATTAAAATGGTGATGTTTAAATCATCTACATTGTAGTTTGTTCACATGATGTGGCATGAATTTATATGAAAAACAAAAGATATGATTAATTTCCTTAATTTCTTTTTATTAATGAACAATAAATGAACAAGTAGTCCGAGGGCCTTCATGGTCACCTGGATTATAAGGAAAAAAAACTTTAGGGCTCCACAAATTTACAAAATAAAGCAAAATAGAAATGCTATAGCAGGAAAAGGAGCAACAAGATACGTTTTTGGGGGGTAACCTGCAACAACTTTAAGTTGCCACAGTTATCACCGCAATTTGTCATTAACACCAATCTTAACCATTAGATCTTTGCCCATAGATGCTATTAAGGGTGAAACGTTTACTGAATTTTGTAAACGTTTAAACGGATAGCAGTAAACGAAACGGTACCGTTTAAACGGGGGATATTTTATGTTTTATTTTTATGGCTACTTACTCATGAAACTCGAATTTAATAATCAATTCTTTCACTTTGATATAAGTATGAGTTGTTATTACAAATTTATTTTTGGTCATTGTTATTTAACCGTAAGAATTTGAGGCGCATTAAACTCATTCACTTTCGACCTCGTCACCCAACTGCTTGGTTTGTTTGGCTACCGGACGTAGAAAAAATAATTGTAAAGATGGATCTTTTAATCTCGAAAAAAGTAAAACAAGACCTGCTGACTGTATTGAAACTTTTCAAAGACTTGTGAAACATGTATTATATTTATTTAATCAAAATATATCAAGTTTTATATTTCAAGTGTCGTAAAACATCGCTAGTATTAGCAACTCGGAAATCGGAATTAATTATCTTAGCCCGTATCGGGTTTTAGATATATTCATTTATGTTTAGATTGTTGCTTATCAATACTCAAAGGTGTTTCTTTTGTAAATTATGAAATAAAACAATTTGTTTGCGTTAAACTTTATTTCTGATAGACATTGATAATGACCTTCGTGTAAACGTTTACTCAAACTGTAAACGTTTAGAGCATATAATCGAAACGTCGCCGTTTACACGTGTAATCGTTTCGCCCTTAGATGCTATTACTAAATCATCTCAAAAATGGGGGGGGGGATGAATCTTGCCTATGCTGCAAGTTTAATTCTCAAAGGCAGATGTTATAATCACTACAATGACAATTCTTACCATTTATCTCTAGAAGTAATAATTTATTCAAATTCCAGATTTGTGTACATTGTATATTTTTTCATAGTTTAGTATATAAAGAAAAATCAAAGTACTCAGGAGTACAGAGAGCCGGGCTCATTTACTGAGTAGAATGGATTTCTTACATGAATCACGTTTATATTCTTATGAAAACATTATTTTAAAACTATCAATATAAATGATAAGACACTGACAGTGAGTTTTTCAATCCTAATACCACGGTCCGATTTTGTCAGAATCAGAATTAATCTGGTACCGCAGCTGAATGTAAATAAACAGGCCAGTCTGGTTCCCTCTCCTGCTTTACCTCGTATGTGTAGAGAACTACGGTAACACTGATTATCAAAAATCCTTACGCTAGTGAACTATGTTCTTTGACTTATGAAGTTTTCAAAGTCATTACTACTAATGCTTATTTTATATAGATAAAACTTCGTTTTATTTTTGTTGCTTTATTTAGCGTTTGTTTTATCTCAAAAGCGGTTGAGAGTAAGAACTATATTTTGCACGTAACTTTAAAATGGCGACTATGGGGTCAACATCCTGCCTTGAACAGGATCACATAAGCCGGCAATTGCTCTTTGAGCAATAAGCCCGGCTAATCAAGGACAGCTGATATAAAAAGAGAGAATAACAGTACACAGATTTAATAGATTTAGAACCCAAAGATTTTTTAACTACTTCCATATGAACCGTGTATAAACAAACAAATAGCCACCTCATAAGGTGGAAAGTACGCATCATTCAGGGATTTGACACTCAGAGCGTAAAAATGGTGCACAAGGTTAATGAGTTCAATTAAAACTAGTAATAAACATCTGGTTTGGCCTCTCCCACCTTAAAATGTTGCCAAAAAAAATGAGAAAATGCACAATTAATAGTCTTAATTAATGAATCAAGCTCCAAGGAGACCCAGATGACACCTGAGTCATGTGATAGATGTAGTGAAGTTCACCTCCTAAAATGAAGTGAGGTAATTCTGTTGATATTTTATCCTAGACAGGACAATGACTCCTAGATGGAATTAACCACAAAAAATACTAAAATTTTAAAATGTTCAAATCCAAATACTTAAAAAACCATTACTTACACATAAATGTAATCTACATTGACATATATATTTCATATCTTCCTTGACATAAAAAGAATTGCATCATTTAAAATAATGAGATTGCATGGTCAATAAACACCCTAGTAATGTACATATTGGATTTAAAATGATCAACAAAGAGGATGTTAACTTTTTTAACTAGGCCCAAGTATCTGCATCACAGCCTTGACAATAGATACCAGTATGCTATTTTATAATGACATATGCTGTACTATACATATATAAACTACAAGTTACATTTCAACTCTTAGAGAATATCTCCCAGACTGTCTCAATTTTTTGTATAACCCTGTAATTTTTAAATATATACTAGCTCTTTTTTTAAAAATATAATCTTTTCAAGGAAATATGTAATAGAAAAAAATATTTGACTTATGTGTATACATTGTACCACAAACAGAATATAGTAACTAATGCAATATCCAGGAGATAAATGACTGTAGATGTCAATGGTGACAATAGGCACACTAAACAAATGAAAGAGCAGATGGTTGATAGGATCTATGTACATATGTCATTTCCCTTCTCGCATGAAAGAGGTCATGTGACATGTTGCCAAACCACACCCACTCCATGACAAAACAACAGTTCATTCACAAGAATTCGTGAATGATGTTCAATCATAAGCAGGTGATTAAAGAAAAAGTGATAATGGTTTTCCCAATGAACTTATTAAGCACTGAAGATTCCTTATTACTAGTACATGTATACAAAATAATGAATTTTTTTTTATCACATCAAACTGAGGAGGGATTTTATAATATGTTAATTAAATGCTCATCTGGCTCTGGCTGTGTGTGTGTGCGAGTGTGAATAACAAAGGTATCAATTTGACCTTTTCACCCACAAGCTACTGACTTAAATTCCACTTAACATCAGCAGATATACATAAAAGTCCTCGTACTTCTAGCTAAATGGCTACCTACACAGAAGTAGTCCCCCACTCTGAAATACTCACAACACTCAAACACTGAAGTAGCCTTGTTACCATTATGAAATTTCTTTGAATTATACAACACATATACAGACATAATGTACGTGATCTTACAATAAATTTAACATACATTTATTTTTTTCTCTTTGACAATTTACTTACCACAATATTTCCATCCAAATGAAGCAATGGAATAAGAAAAAATAAACAGAAAAGAACAATGAGTGAATTTATAGTACCAAATTATACGACAATATTTATTATATTAGCACTCCTTTCTATCAATAACTAATCTACACTCATATATACACACAAGTGTGAATTCATTGCTTTATCAACACAGAAAAATCAATTTCTATAGATGTGCATCATCTAATTCATGTATGAGCTTTATAAAACACTTTTGCTTGTATTTGCATTGCACTGGTCTTCTAGTTGCATATTAGTTAGAGATGAAAATTGTAGTTTTATGCAATTTTACTTATAATTATAGCAGTGCATAACAGCTCTGCACTATCCCTCAGACATATGTAAAATAAATTCATAATTTATATGTTCAGATCAAGTTGCTTCTCATTGTTAATGCATTTGGTTTGTCTCCAGATACTTGCTTGCAATAGAACTAATTTTTATTATAAATGAAACAAATTTTCATGATAAACAGAATGATCTCCGCCCTATGTTCTGAACCCACAGCTTCTACATGCTTTGTTACTCAATAAAAGATTTTTAAAATCTTGCATAGTTTTTTGCCCAACCCCTCCATCCCCTGGTTTTGGGACTTTTGAAATTCACAACCTCTCATATAGGACAGACTAATACAGAAAGGCAGTGTCAGAAATAGGGGACTCTGGTGACTTAAAATTGGAAATAGGCATAGAAGGTCACTAGAGAACAGACAGACAATTATAGCAATATCTGTATACTGCGAAATCCAAATTTTCTTGAGGGTTCACTTTTCGTTCTTTTCAAGGTATGAAGAGAACGTAACTACTCAACAATTCTTCATCCACAAAATTAAATCCCCAAGAACCAAGAGATTTTTCTCAAATCACAAAAATATGTAATTTTACAGTATATTTCAAAATGTAAGAGGGAGATATGAGATCTCTAACCAAGCAATTAATCTAGCAAAAGTATCTATTACTGAAAATGTACAAAAAAAAAATCTATGCAGTAATTTTGCATAGCTGTAATCCTTAAAGCTGAAATTAAATTTGAAAAGAAATTAAATTTTGAAAGAGTACAACAGAATGCTGACTATGGTATTGAAAACTTCATGGCATAAAAAAAATAGAATTTCTAAAATAACACTTCAAACAAATTTGAAAGAGCAACGTATTGACTTCAGGAAGGAGGCTGGGTACCAATGTGAACTTATTGTTTTGCATGATTCACAATATGTTTGTTGAAGCATGTTCTAATCTGCTGCCAATCCTGAAATTAGCTGTGCCGGTTAGCATTATTACAGAGCCAGTACGCAGGCATTATTGATCTCAGCAATTTGATCAATGAAACACTAGGCAGGACACACCACTGTTCAAATACCACACTGCTCATTAATGTATTTAATTATTCTTGGACTAGGTGCAAATTTGACCAACAAATAATTTTTTCAATGCCAGCTATTGATATATCATAAAAATTCAATGTTGTTGTTCCTGTTTTCTCCTTTTTTTACTTTCGTTCTTGCCATGGAAGTTCCGATTTTTTTTTCTTCGATGATCAGCTTTTACCTAAACACTCCCTTCCTTCATCTGTTAGTGTAAATCCCCGATTAGATTACTTTATACATGCTACAGCCAAGCGTACTGCGAGGCTACTAAGCATGCTAAGCAGAATAAATGAGCCAATGTTATGTCTGGGGGAAACAATAGAAAAGACTCAATTATTAATTCAGCACTGTTGGGTGGGAGTAGGAAACAGTGATTAATGGCTCAACAAGTACGTCAAATGGAGTCTATCATGTCACAAGCCAACATCTACATAATGTCTTGACATCATAATTAGGTCATTCTCTCTGTGAACTCAGCCAATCCTGTCCTACAGCAGAAACTACCTACATGCTGGTGCATCTCGAGTTCAATTCACAGTGGAATGTCAATGTCTGCTACAATGTCAATGTTTCACCAGACCACGGTACTTTAATCATGCTGTCACTAGGTCAATATGCATGTCTATATACACTAAAATGCTGCCCAAGGCCACAAAGATTACTTTCTTCACCATTGACCAATTGCTACTTAGTCCTCAAAGTTTTCAAACCAAAATGCAAAAAAATCATTCATACATTTTAATATCATATCCCATAAGAAACAGTGTAAATATATATATTCCCAACACCTACTCCTACAGTCAAATACCTTGGAAATCAATAAAACTGACTGAATTGAATGCAGATTGTTCACTCTGCATGTCCTCATATCAGTATCTGCTACAAATCAAGTCCCAGTAATCTACTTTGTCTCAACATTTTTCTTTTTAATTGACTGCTGTTATGTATAGATGCATGAATATATGTACTTGAATATGAGGAAATGGCAAAAAATGCATCTCAAGTAGGTCTGAGACTGAGGGGATGCTATTTCACTACCAAAGATCAAACACTTTAACTTTACAATGAAGGAGGGGGTGGAGGGATGACTCATTCAGCCTGTACAACTGTCCTTTTCTGAGGACCCTTGGCTCCACTATTCATCGATTATTTTTTTTTATGATAATCATACAGTGACTGGAGTTGATAAAAACAAAAACTAGGGCACTGGTCCATTGGGTCAGCATTTTCTATCATTTGTGGATGGTCCTAATTTTTAACAGCCTAATAATCCAGTCACAAGTTTCATTGATCCGGGAAAGCTAAATACACAACACTGGCACCGGCTGATATCAATTAGCAGGACTATGAATGAACGGGCACACCTAGGTGCTACAGACTATGAATGGAGAAAGGTTACCCATTGATTTTTGAAGCAAAACACAATGACGACTTGGTACTTTACAATGCCGAGTGGTATCCAAACTAATTGTGTGCTGTAATGCTCCTGCTGGGAATCCAGCCAAAATTCAATCTGCTCAATGAAGAAACAATACATTGGACTTCAAACCCATTTCAGTTTCAATTATGTACCGTTTTCCCCCCTCTCTCCCTCTGCAGCTCTCCAAGACAAAAACTAAAGTTCACTGCTCTTTGATCCCAGTACAGTACTATAAATCAGATGAACAACTTCCCTTTTTTTTTAATTTGGCCCTCTTTCAATCATCAAATTTATAAGGGAGTACATAGTTCAGCACATTAATGCACATAATATGCTGGTATGCCTACAGGAAAAAAAAATTACATATCAATTATTCAACATATTATGGCAATGTGTATCAGATGACCACTATATTCCAGCATGTTTGTTAATATATGTAATGGGATTTTTTTCCCTTTTCTAGTCTATATCATGTTATATATTTTCAGTCAGGAGCTTTGTATTATTTGGACACTTTTAAGCAATGCATACTAAGGATGTCCTATTATAAACCGATTAAAGGTACTACATGTATAAATAATAAACAGCTAGTACAAGGAAACATTAGCATTAGCAAATTAATAAATCTTAAGAAATCATTGTTATATGCTTGTTTTCAGATTGTCTGAAGGCGAGAGAAAAAGTAAAATACGTCACAATATATGATAAAGATCTTCATGGTGTCATGTAGATTATTCAGGGTTGGGTTATTGGTCTAAAAATAGTTTTTTAATCTATCAAAAATAAACACTGCGTAATTCAGGAAGTTACTGAAAGTTGACAAATATTTAAGAACAGAATTACGTAATCAATGAAAAGATCCCTACACATTCCTCCACATGTCACATGTGTCTATATTTAGCCCATGATGCAATCTTGCAAAACATATTTATGATGCATTTACATAATAAATATATATCTAAATACCCCAACCACTGTGATACAAATCTTAGGTGCTTAAGAAAATATATAAAGAATACACAGAGAGAATTTTTTAAAAACTGCAGCACTAAAATAAGACAGAACATATTGGTTCACTGGTGTGTTTGTAAATATCTTCTTTATCGGGCCGGGGGATATCAGTGAAATTTTGTGGAAACAAAGACATTAGGATAAAGAATTTTATGTAGATCTCGAAAAATCATTCCTACATTTGAGTAAAATTTGAGGATAAAGTTGAGAGAAGATTCCTTGCCCAAACCAATCAATTGCATACCTAGCTTAGTGTGTATACAGTAAAACCTGTCTTATCTGGACTCTACTGTTTCGTAAGCATTTTAAACAACTGAACTTATTGAAAGGGTCTTAAGTTTTCATTATAATAACAAGATATGTCAGAATATGCAATATCAGAATAAGAAAGTTAAGCTCTACATAAATTTAAAGAGAGATATTTTTTTCTTTTTATTGGGGCTGTTAAAAATTATCGAAAAATCTCCTCTCCATATTGATGCAAAATCAAAATCGCACAAATATCAACACATCCACAACAGCATTAGTAATTTTAAAAAAGTCTTACAATTGGAAGCAGTCTATGGCACAATTAATATTTGATAATAAGAAAACCCTTATGTTAATGGAAAATAAATTTAATGTTAGCCTCCCTCCCTTTAGACCTTCAGATATAACCTACCGTCCACAAGATCAGCCACGGCACTCCGGATTCCCTTGTCGAACGCCTTTGCATCATCATAACGCTCAAAAGTCAGACCAAACCTTTTATCGTCTGTCTGCCAGTGATGAAACTTGGGGTTGGCTTTCACATAGCGAATATCTCGCTTTAGAAGGCAGTCTAGAACAACCTGCAATGAAGTCAACTAAATATTAAACCAATATAATGAATTATACAGTTCCACTTCGATATCTTAAACACCAAATATATTAAAAATACCATTAATATATCAAAATGAATGGAAGTTTCTGCCACTTATATTTTCAGTATTTAACCCTTCAAATCTAAAATCTGTGGATATCTTGAATTTTTCTCAGTCCCTTTGAGTTCAACATATTGAGATTTGACTGTAATCAGAATCATTGTTTCTGATCTCGGTTACTTGACTCCTTCTTATCGAAAAGATTCTGCGAACTGGCCCTCTCTTTGGCCCCTCTCTTTGAAGTTTTGCAATTCTAGTCAAATTAAAGATTGATCTTTTTTTTTTTTTAAATAGGCTGTTGCAAGTTAGCATGTACATGCATATATTTTGCACAACTGCAAATATTTCAGAAATATCAAATGTAAAGTTCTGCTTATTTAATTTGAAGATATTGTTATATAAAAATTCAAAATCAGTAAAAATATGCAAGTTAGTGATTTCAACATACTTTTTTTAATTTGACATTATTTTATTCTCATTTGAGGGAGGCAGCTAAGGTCTGACTCGTAACATTTGTTTAAATTTTTTTCTCTCATGTTGGACTTGCCCCTGAGACAGGATACGCTGCTCTTAAACCTGACAGAAAACTTCACACTCACAATTAGCTTCATCAGTCTTCCCTAAGCTTCACAAAGGTATCTAATTTTGTCTCTTTAACCCTTCGCACATGTATACATTGTGCATAATCTTGTATAAACAGGTATTGTTATATTCATCATAATTTAAACACTGTTTGCCACATGTAATCAGAAGCCTCAGGTGTGAGCCCTTAGCATGTCAACAATGGCCTGCCACAACGATTCTGTGCTTGAATGAAAAATGTATACACGTTTTATTGGCACTTCACATTTTCAAAGTCAGCGTTTTTAAAATTAAAGATGAAAATCGTCATGTAATGGATTACATTTTAGTATGGTGTACATGTACTTGAGTAATATCTGGTGAAAATTTCAAATGGAAGCAAATCTCTACCTGCAAAAAGCAATAAATTGAACACAGATCGTTCAATCACACATGGTCAATGATTCCTCTTCTTAATTTTTTTTTTTATTTCTTAGATATGTTTATATTGTAATGGAAAAGGAAAAATGTACGGCTGGACTGAGAATCAAACCAAGGACCCTTGCATAACTAGTCAAGTGCTCTACCGACTAAGCTACCCAGACTGTAACGACCCAAACAATTAAACTTTAATTTATTTTCATTTATGTTTTTATTTTATTTAAATAATTTATGAATTTATGAGATCAATACTGAAATCAGGATTAAGATTGTTTTTTATGTGGCCAAATTAGGGCAAGAATATGATGCTTGATCCAATCTCATTCCTTGAACAATCAGCTACCCAGCCAACTTGGCAATGAAAATGAATAGTCCCAAGTCCAATTTTATGGAGCATTATAAATACAGTATAACTTCGGTATCTAGAACATCAGTATCTTGAACACTATGGATATTTCAAAGCCAGTAGAATGTGTTCTCTATACCTGAAATCCTTAGATATCTCAGTCCCATTGAGTTTATATATATTCTATTCCATACCTATTGCAAAGTTATTGCTTACTGTACATTTTAATCTATTAACTCAAATGATATCTACTTGTGCTGTGATTTCAGTTATTTGAAGAAATATTAACCCAAACAAGATTTGGAAAAACACTATATTTTATGTTATATTTTACTTGTCCACAGGGCAACTGAATTTAAAGTTAACGTCTCTAGCTGGTGAACTTGTGATCTGTGCCTTGTCATCTCCATGTGATATAACTCCTCTGTTTAGGATAGATGAATATACTACAGCAAATGGATTTAAAAATAACTGTTGCTTCATAAACTAAAAGCACACCAACTTCAATGTAAACCCACAACATACATTTAGGTAACCAACATATAATGTTTACAATGTTAGTAGAAATGCAGCTTGTTTGAACTTCCTGTAATTTTTTATCTTTGCTATAGTTAAGGGTTTCTGGTCCAGCCTCCACACAAACCCTTGGCCTGTGCTATCAAAAGGCGGGATTATTTACACGTGATCTGAATCTTATTTAAAACACACAGATTGCATCATCTACAGAAATAGAAACAGTATTAAAGTATTAATTTTAAGAATATTTATTGAGCTATATTTATTTGTTTTTTAGGTTGCAAATCTATATCTGCAATATAAAATCCTGAACACATTATATGCACAACTGCTTAAAGTATGATGTCACAATAGCTATTTTGCATTTTCATTCCAGAGACTAAAGAGTTGAGATATATCCCAACTTGAGATATCATGATATCATCATTTTCAAAGGCAATCACTAATTGGTTAAACAATGTCAATGAATTTTACTCCCCACCACAACTCAAGAAAAAAATCCTGAATTTTACTAGCACCATAGGCCAAGGGTTTGTGTGGAGAGTAGTGGATCAAAAACCTTTGCTAGCAAAGATGTACCGGTAACTTTACAAAACAATAAAACAAGAGTGCACAATGTACAGACAGACAAAGTGATTCCTGCATAACCCCCAAACTTCATTGGCAGGGGGATATAATAATTTCTCTATGGTTTTAAACATAGAAGACAAAGCATTTGGTCCTCCAAGTGTTATATTACGTACTGAATTGTCGGCTATCCTGGTGCCGTAGATGAGATATTCACTGTGCAGTAGCTCCTCCCCTGTCTTGCGGGTGATTTTTCTGAGCCCTACGTTTGAGAGCCCTCCTCCTCCCATTGGTACCCAGCCCCCACTGGAGTCATCTCGCGTCATGACTTGTGCCTGGACACGCACAAGAAATTCATCACTGAAAAATACAAAAATTACATTACAAGTCCCATTTTATAACACATTTAAATTACCATAGCCACTTCTAGCACCATACTAGATATTTTTTGCATCAGTTACATTCTAATGATAATAATGATGGATGTTTTACAACACTTTATATTTATAAACAGGAATTTGGTATTTATAATGGAGACAAAATTTTCAGGAATTATAATCAAGACAAAATTTTCAGGAAATCTGGGCGTTAAAATCTATATGTGAAAATAAAATTTTTAAAAGCAGACAGTCTCACATCATTAATCGAAAATTAAAAGTTTTTTTTAAATTAAATTAAAAAGTGATTTACAATATAAGGAAAATTTTTATCTATCTTTAGCTTTTTATTTGATCAACAAAAAAAATTGGAATACATGTATGACTGTGCCTATTACTACATATGTTGTTTGGCCAGTTCTGGATTTTATCAGTTCCGAATAACTATCAACTTAAGAGCCAATAATTTATTGATTTAAAAGTGTATACATAAATTGATACCTATGGTATGAAGACTTATTTAAGAGTGTTTGAAATATGTGAAGTTTTTTTAGCCATCAATTTGTGTTTGGTACCAGGGGCGTAGCCAGGGTACTTTTGATGTGGATGTCTGAAAAGGTGGGGTTGGGGGGCATCTTAAGGGCCCAATGGGTCTGGACAAAGCCCTGGTGGGGGCCAAGGGGGCAAAGCCCCCAGAAGCTGGTGAATTTTCGATGATTCCGATGTGCATATTTGAGCCTTCTGATAGCATTTTTCTTACACTTGTTCAGTTTGTTACTCAGCCACATTTGAGGTCTGTTCTTTCCTGTACAAAATGCGGACAAAGTCTCAAAAATGAGAGAGGAAATGTACAGCAGGGTTGTTTGATGAACCCACTAAAACAATTAATATTTAGACCTTTGAAGTTCAACAAAATACGTATGGTTACATACGGTAGTTGGTTAGAGTGGTTGACTGGTTTAGACAGACCTGATAGATAGGCTTACATTAATGTTAAAATACACGTCTAAAGATTGAAAATAACAAAGACAGAAGGATTCTCTTCAACTCATTTTCTTGCAGATTACATATATATATTGTATACATTTTAAAATAAATGTTCAAAAATATTCACAATTCAGGTATATAACTTTTTGCAACAATGATAAAAACATGTAAAAATACTTTTGTAAGGCAAAGTCACACAATTAACCAACAAAAAGTGCACATTCCAAAAATGAAAACATTTAAGCAATTTTAATCTGATACTTTGAAATAGACCTACATAAAAAATTTAAACTAGTTCTTCTTCATGAAAATGTAATCAAAATCCAGCATCTGAAGCAAATTTGAGATTTTTCATCTCTTGATGCAACATTTGTGCAAGTTTGGTTTATACAATGTTATATAAGCCTTATATTTTACCCATAACTTTTACCTGGTCTATTTTTTTTCGAATTTTCAATTTTTGATGTTCATAAATAAGAAATGCTGAAAAACTTTAACCCATTCACTCAGAAAATGTAGGTCAGATTCAGCATCCGAAGCAAGCCTGGTAGTATGCATCCTTAGATGTATCATCCATGCAAGTTTGGTCGATAGGGCTTAAGTTAGATTTTCAACCTGTTTTTTTTCAGATTCAGCATCCGAAGCAAGCATGGTAGAATGCATCCGTAGATGTATCATCCATGCAAGTTTGGTCAACATAGGGCTTATAGTTACTTGGAAATGAAACCTGCACCAAAAACTTTCACTCAACCGGAAAATGTAGGTCAGATTCAGCATCCGAAGCAAGCCCGGTAGTATGCATCCTTAGATGTATCATCCATGCAAGTTTGGTCAACAAAGGGCTTATAGTTACTTGGAAATGAAACCTACACCAAAAACTTCAACCTGTTTCCAGTCCGAAGCAAATAGAAATTGAAATTATTCAACAAAGGGCTTATAGTTACTTGGAAATGAAACCTACACCAAAAACTTCATTCAACCGGAAAATGTAGGTCAGATTCAGCATCCGAAGCAAGCCCGGTAGTATGCATCCTTAGATGTATCATCCATGCAGGTTTGGTCAACAAAGGGCTTATAGTTACTTGGAAATGAAACCTACACCAAAAACTTTAACCTGTTCACTCAACCGGAAAATGTAGGTCAGATTCAGCATCCGAAGTAAGCCCGGTAGTATGCATCCTTAGATGTATCATCCATGCAAGTTTGGTCAACAAAGGGCTTATAGTTACTTGGAAATGAAACCTACACCAAAAACTTTAACCTGTTCACTCAACCGGAAAATGTAGGTCAGATTCAGCATCCGAAGCAAGCCCGGTAGTATGCATCCTTAGATGTACCATCCATGCAAGTTTGGTCAACATAGGGCTTATAGTTACTTGGAAATGAAACCCACACCAAAAACTGCACCAAAAATGTTAACCTGCTCCAAAAACATTAACCTTCATTTCTTTGCTGAAATTGCAGCATCTGAAATTTTGGTACAATGAAACACACTAGAACCATCTTCCATGCATGTCTAATCAATATAGGACATAGAAGTACTTTGCTCCAAAAAACTTAACCTAAGGGTAAAAAGCTCCCCCAACTTCGTTGAGGTGAGCTAAAAATACTTTTGGTTTTAAGGTAGTTTTACTTATATTTTTTAAAGGTTAAACTGAATTTTACCAATTTTTTTTTTCTTTCAATTTTTGATGTTCATAAATAAGGCTGAATTCTGATTTTTGAAGTCTCGCATGAATTCGATATTAAGAGATTTTTGTTTTTTTTTGTTGGGGGGGTGGGGGGGGGGGGGGTGGTATCGTTACAGAAGTTAAGCATTACGGTTGGAAGTTCATTTCCAGTAATAGAAATTGAAATTATTGGCATTAAATAAAATTCAGCAATATTCGATAGTATTATATCGTTAATTCTTAATTTTTTCTTTGTATTTTTTTTTATTTAAAAAAATTTTTTTCTTATATTTTGCAAAAATGATGAGTATGCTTTATAATATTCTCTTTCTCTCTCTTTCTTTATGTTCTTCCTTTCTTTCTTTTCTTTTCTTTTTTCTTTCTTTCTTTTTTTTTTATTTTTGAAAATGATGTGGACGTTTATGCGTACAAACGTACGCCTGGCTACGCACCTGGGTATAGTACTTGAAGCACTCAATATACTTTTACAATGCAACAAATCTGAATCATTGCGATGTGTATGTCTGCAGAAAAACTTCTATAAAGACATCAAATTTTCACATAAACCAACATTCCAGGTATCAAAAGTAAGATAAATACCATGTATTTTAACAAACACCAAAAACTTGTCGAAAATAAATCATTAGAACACTTAGAAGAGATCGGAATATTTTTATGTTGTCATTTTACTAGTTCCGGATACCCATAATAAACACTATAAAATGTTTGTTATCCATATTTTTCTTCAATGTAAATGTGACTGTTATTTAACCCCCATTTGAAAAGCAGGGGATATACAGTGATGGGGGGGGGGGGTCCATCCGTCTACCTGTCTGTACGTCCATCTGTTACGCACTGAGGTACCCATCTCTTATTCGCAACTCCTCTTATACCACTGGATGAAATTTAATGAGACTTTCATAGACTCTTTGTTACAAAGTGCCACTGTACACCTTCTATTATACTTTTTGATCGGACACGTATATTAGTTTTTCCATAACAAAACATGGACACTCTCATTTTATCTATAATATTGAAGAATACCCATATCTTATCCGTGTTTTCTCTTATACCACTGCATTAAATTTAATGATACTCTTATAGATTCTTAATTACACAATGTCAGTGTGCACCTCTTATTTTTCTTTTTGATCTAACACTAAATTTGGGTCTTCCAGAGCAAAACATGGACTTTGCCATTATCATATGGGAGGCGGGGGATATCATTTAGGGAGCCCAGTTCTCACAGTACCTCTTATTTCTCTTTATCCTTTGGACATGTTGGAAATATCATTAACTTACTGGTATAAAGCAATTATTTTAACTTAACTCAGGCATGCCAATAAGTAATGTGGGGATGGATATTTTTAATTTAGGGTCGAATGGCATGGAAACAGCTAGGATATTCCGAACTCATCAAATGAGTACCTATGTTATCTTGTTAAATTAAAATTTTTTTCTGAAATGCTGAACTTTTATGAAACAATATTTATTTCCACAATTCATTGAACTACTTTAATTGGGAAACAACTTAGATTTTGAAATAATTCTTCGTATATTTATGGCACCTCCAAATCGGTTTCTTATTCGGAATTGGTCAAACAACTGTAAGTTCAACATTTTCCCAGTAATGAGTTGTGTTTATTTTCAATTTAAACAGAAGAATTTCAATGAGATAAATTAAAGAATATGGTAAAATATCAACTTCTGATCAAAACTGTAAACCAACTATTATTTGCATCTTTTATTTGTGATTTGTCAGTTTGAAATCATTCCATGATGAGGGTGATGTTTTTCTACTGAGAAAACATTCTCTACAAATACAAAGCTAGGATTCCTTAATTTCATACATTTGAGGACAAAATAAGAGAAAATGTGAGGCCATAACAAGGAAAAACAGAACCTCCTTGATGATATGATACATTTTGATTGGTTATTTTCAATTCACAATACATTTTTATAGAAGGAAACAAATTCAATGTTGTTTTTGCTTTAATTGTTTCACTGAATCTACTCACTTTATCTACATGCAAATTGACTAAGGCAATTGATTAGAATGAATTGAGTCAATTGACTGTTAAATATAAAAGATTATTTTACATGCTATCAGTCTTCAAAATTTTACCATGGTACGTTTTTAAAAATTATGTTGAGTAGCGTCGTTTTAACTATGCCAAACTGGACTGAATATGGTAACGATCCCGACCAAAAAATGAACTGAATCCAAAATGGAGATTTTGCACCATGTACCAAACCATGAAAAAACTGTTAATTGATACCATGATGAACTGCTTCACCCATATTGCTACTGCTCAGTTTCCAGCTT